TAGAAAACGCTAGGAGAGTAGCTTTCCAAAATATGACGTGCTTAGTTGGGTGTAACTGCGGCTACCATCAGTTAAAAAACACTTCATTTCATGTTGGTTACCTAACTTTATTTCATCCCAACTTAATCACTTTTGAAAGTTACTAGTTCGACCCTAAAATCACGTAATAAATGAATAACACGAAATTAAAATTACCAATTTAAAGCAACAAGTCACTTTTTTATTGTTTTAGATGTTTAGTCAATCAAGTCAAGTTATCATATATTGAATTGTCACGATAATAAATAAATTAGTAAATAACATAAGAAAGTGCGTTGGTAATAGAACTCAAATAACTACAATTCTTCTAGGGATACAATTTCTCCAATTCAAATATTTTCTATCCCAAAAATGAGTCTCAATTTGAGGTTGAAAATTCGGAGCATAATTTTTTCGGTAGAAAATTGATTTGTTATAATATTTTGGCTATATTTCACCTCTTTGGCTTCAAATTGAATCCAATTGATCATATGTGATCTTCAATCATCATTATATGGTCTGAATAAACTATTGGATATTTATGCTTTGGTATTTGAACTTTAGATTTCTTTCATTTTTGCCCCTTTTTCCTTCATTTTTTTTCCAATTCGCCCAATTCTTCTCGAGTTTTACCGACCAAACAAAATTAACAATAAATTAAGTCATAAGTAATCAAAATTAATGATAATTAATCACATTTAACGGCCCAGATAAGTGTATTTTATACACTTATCAAATATATAAATGTGTTACCTAAATTTGTTATTAAGTGAAGTTGATATTTGATTATTGTGGTTTATATCATTAATGCTTCTCATGATATATTCACGCACGTCAATGCATTCACAAGCATACATGAATTTTCAAGGAATTAAAAGTTTTCAAATATCATGAGTCAAAGAATGTTTTTAAAGATGAGTATCCCCAATATTTTGTTAAAAGGTGTATGTTTATACCATGAAAGATGTGAGTGAAAATGGGGCCTAGGAGACCGGTGCAGCCGACCAATGTTCAATGTTCAATGATAATGTTAATATTAACTACTTTACGGTACTACCGATAGGATGAATCGAATTCCAAATAATAATTGCCTACTACATTTTGATTGGCTAAGCGAACACCTAGTGAGTTTACAATATTATTGTTTGATGAGTGCATTTTGTGCCCCTATTTAAGTCATTTTACTTGGGTTTCATGTCGTCTATTTATTTATATTT